AAGCAGAACCATTGTYTGCATTCACCTATCAGCAGTGGGTAATAATCACAGGACATGTTTATGGTCGGCAGGAAGTCTATCACAAACTCAACTCTGTCTAGTAGAAAAATGGTAGAAAATAAGCCATTTCTCATGCAACATACCTAACAGCATTTGTCAAAAAGACAGAAAATGTGGTTTTGTTATATAAACAATATATTATGTGTGTAAAGAAACTGAATTGTGTTTATTATAAATATATTGACTGTCTGTCTTTAGGACACAAGACTAATCATATGATTTGCCGCAGTCTGCAATAACCTACATTGCTTCAAATAYAGCTCAGATCATGCAATCTTTACCTTTTCTGACAAGTTACAATGGTAGCAAAGCACGTAGTCCGGACATTCTTCTGCATAGCAACATTTTTTTCCAGGTCCTACAGGAGTTGGGGAATGTTTCTGTATTGCTAAGCCTGAGATAAAATCTCTCCAGTGTGTCCTGAGTCCACCCAGTGATTTCCCCACTGGTCAGACATGTTCAAAGAGCTCCAAGTGGAAGCTGGACTCTGATCCAGTGTCCCATCCCGTTGAATGGGACTGAAACACTCCATCATTCAGTTGTGCACGTTCTGCTTTGCACATACTAAAACCTTTTGGTGCAACTAAAAGACAAATTGATGATTTTTGTCCGAAAGTCTGCTTTCATCCAATTCGAAAAACACTCAACGATCATCTCTATTTCTCTGGATGGAAACTATCAACAGTGAGCATGCTTGAAAGAGAAGTGAAATTGAAAATACTACATTCGCACAAGAAAAGTCCTCAGTTTAGCAATATCACCTGAATGTAACACTTTCCACGTTTCCTAATTTTTTAACCAACGAACTGATCTTTTCCTCTAAATCGCTCTCATTCTAATRAGCAACCATCAGTTACAGTAATGTTAATTTCTTTTAATAAATGAAACCAACGATTAGCACACAGATTTTTTTATGACCCTCTGCAGCTCCTGCTTGCAGCAGCAGATGGGTTTTATCACCTCCAACCAGAAAAAACGACAGGAGCAGAGACTTATGTCACAATCCTTGTAAATGTCAGTTTCAGCCAAAAAGGTGGTAACAAATCTAATCAGCTCTTTCACAATTGATTTTCTGTGTGTTTTAACTGCATACATTTACAATATACACTCACCGGCCACTTTATTAGGTACACCTGTCCAACTGCTCGTCAACACTTAATTTCTAATCAGCCAATCACATGGCGGCAACTCAGTGCATTTAGGCATGTAGACATGGTCAAGACAATCTCCTGCAGTTCAAACCGACCATCAGTATGGGG